AGGTTGGCGATGCGTCTGCGTTTCGGGTCTGGGGATCTCGGGCGTTTGTACGCGACTTGTCTGCGGACAAGCTATCCCCCCGTGCTGTTCCCTGTGTCTTCCTTGGCTTCCCCCTTGACGCGCCTGGGTGGCAATTTTACCACCCCACCTCGCGTCGTGTTCTGTCCCCCCAGGACGTCACCTTTGACGAGTCAGTACCTTACTACCATATCTTCCCCTACCGCACTGCGCCCCTTCCTCCACCCTCGCTCTTCCTTGCGCCAGGTCCTCCCCCAGTAAACCCCCTCCCCCCTCAGGGTCCTGCCCCCTCAGGTGTGTCCCAGGTAGACGCAGTCGAGCCTGTCGAGGTAGCTGTTGACTCTGGTGCTGTTAGAGCTGCTGAGCCCGTGGGTGCCGGGCCTGGAGGTGCTGAGTCTGGGGGTGCTGAGCCTGGGGGTGCTAAGTCTAGGGGTGCTGAGCCTAGGGGTGCTGAGTCAGGAGGTGCAGAGCCTGGGGGTGCGGAGCCTGGGGGCGCTGGGTCTGCTCGTGTGGCCGCCGGCGGTGCTTCGTCGAGGTGGGAGCCACTCTCTCCACAGGAGCTGCGCGAGTGGTTTGCCCGACGCTGGAGCCATGCTGCTGGAACTGGAGGTACTACTGTTGCTGCTGGTCCCTGAGGTGCTTGTACTTGCGGTAATGGAGCTGCTGGGACTGGGGATGCTGTTGGGGCAGCTGGAGGTTGTCCTGCTGGAGCTGGTGGCGGTACTGGAGCTGCCGGTTCTGCGAGATTTGGTGCCATTGGAGCTACTGGAGCTGGAGCTGCTAGGGGTGTCGAAGCTGGTGTTTCTGGTGGCGCTGGTGCGTCTGAGGGTGCTGGAGTTGGCACTGTTGGAGCTGGAGGTTCTGCTGACGCTGGTGCTACTGCTGGGGGTACTAGTGCTGTCCTTGTTGGCTCTGAAGGCGCTGCGCGGCCGCGGTCGTACTTCGTTCCGCTCCTTGAGCAGGTTCTTGGTCTCCCGCCCTCTACTGGTCCTGCTCCTTCCTTAGAGTGTCCACAGCCTCCAGTTGTAGTCACAATTACAGCCCACCTCCCCCCTACCTGATCCTTCTCCCTATACTGGTCCTACTGGAGGTCTTGCTGAGCGTCGTGAGCCTGCATCTCGTCCTGCGTCGCGTGTTCGTGGTGCTTGCACTAGTCGTCGTGTTCCGCGTCCGCGTCCTCCTGCGGTCCCAGGCACACACCAGATGGCACTCCGTCCTTCCACTGCTCCTCTGCGTGTCCCGTTGCCGTCTCCTCCAGAGTCCTCTCTTCCTGTTCTTGCTGACTCGGAGTCTGAGTCTCTTCGTGCTGCCAGTCCTACTCTCACGCGTCTCCAGGCCACTGTTGTCACTGGCCCTTCCTTTGACTCCACTGCTGCGTCTGCCTTGGTTGCTGAGATTGTCGACTTCGCTGCTCGCTGTCGTCTAGACTACGCCGCTAGCCTTGTTGCTGAGTCTGAGTCTGTCTGTCCTCCGTCCGTCGGGGGTGAGTGTGCTCTTAGCACGGACGTCCTTGAGGATAGGCAGGAGGAGTTCCAGTATTTTGCTACTGCTTTGCCTCATCTGGTGTCCACGCTGATTGCCCCTAAGGAAGACCCGGATGCACCAGACATCCCGACTCCTCGATTTTACGCTAAGGCGATCGAGGGTCCCTACTCCTCTCAGTCGCAGTCAGCCATAGACGCAAAGATGGCTTCCTGGAAGTCCACAGGCACCTACGTCGACGAGGTTCCCCCACCTGGGGCGAACATCGTCAGTGGCATGTGGATTTTCAGAGTGAAGCGGCCGCCGGGTTCTCCGCGTGTCTTCAAGGTGCATTACATGGCTCGAGGCTTCAGTCAGCGAGGGGGAGTTGACTACTTTCACACCTTCTCTCCCACCCCGAGGATGACCACTCTTCGGGTGCTGCTGCACATAGCCGCTCAGCGCAAATACGAGCTTCACTCTCTTGACTTCAGCACTGCTTTCCTGCAGGGCAGCCTGCACAAGGAGATCTGGTTGCGCCGCCTACCTGGCTTCACTGGGTCGTTTCCTCCTGGTACCCAATGGAGCCTCCGGCGGCCAGTCTACGGTCTCCGCTAGGCGCCCCGTGAGTGGCACGACAAACTGAGGACTACACTTGCGGCTCTTGGGTTTGCTCCTTCTACAGCCGACGCGTCGCTGTTTCTGCGCACCGACACCTCTTTGCCGCCGTTCTACATTCTCGTGTACATCGACGACTTGGTCTTTGCCACTGCTGACACTGTTGGACTCGCCCACGTGAATTTCGAGCTGTAGAAGAGACACACGTGCACAGACCTAGGTGAACTGCGCAACTACCTTGGCTTGCAGATCACTATGGAGAGAGCATAGCGCACCATTACCCTGACTTAGTCACACATGGTGCAGCAAGTCCTTCAGCGCTTCGACTTCACGTTCTCCTCACCTTAGGCCACTCCTCTCTTTATTTGCCACTCGCTCTCAGCTCTGCCTTCGGATAAGTCCGTAGAGCCGAGTGGCCCGTACCCAGAGCTTGTTGGCTACCTCATGTACCTGATGACCTGCACACGACCTGACTGTGCATACCCTCTTAGCATCTCGGCACGCTATGTTGCTCCTGGGAGACACCGACCAGGAGCACATGGCTCCTGTTGCGTTATGTGTGCAGTACGTCGGGCATGGGGCGACGTCGAGCGGTCCTCACAGGTCACGCTGACACTTCTTGGGCTGACAACAAGGCTACGAAGCGGTCGTCACAGGGTTACACCTTTAGCCTTGGCTCCGGCTCTGTTTCGTGGTGGTCTACCCGCTCGTCTTCTGTTCTCAGCTCCAGCTGTGAGGCTGAGATCTACGCGGGGGCCATGGCTGCACAGGAGTTACGCTGGCTCACCTACATGCTGACTGACCTAGGAGAGCTGCCTCGTTCTCCTCTAGTTCTGTACGTAGACAACAAGGCCATGCTGGCCTTGTGTCGGGAGCACAGATTGGAGCACAGAACGAAGCACATTGCTCTTCGCTACTTCCTTGCTCGTGAGCTGCAGCAGCGTGGTCAGCTCGGCCTCACCTACGTGGCCTGAGAGGCCAACACTGCTGATATCTTTACCAAGGCACTTCCGGCTTGTGATCATCAGCGCTTCTGTACGATGCTAGAACTTGTGCCTACTTGGCCTCACTTACTCACTTCTTGACCTTGCCTGTATAGTGAGTTTTTTGTATACCTGCACTTGTTTGTTTACCTTTATATATGACCTTGCATGTGAACTGGCATTGTGGCCTTGCTCTTGTGCTCGGACTGTGTGGTGACGTTGTGATCCACCCTGAGCTTAATTTGCTTTGCTTGACTGGTCTTGTGACCTCTTGTTCTCCCCCACTTTGCCGATGGGGGTAGTGTCAGGTATATATGCTACAGTCTGTGTAGGTTGTAGTGGGGTAGACAATATGGGTTACAACACTTTTAGGTTTTCCTACTTGTACCCACCTGCTTGCTAGTTCATTTATCCCTCATTCTTCACAATTGAGTGGGCGGCGCCATCACTAGCTGCGCCAGAGCGCTGTCCCACGCTGTTATTTTGTGTTGATGTGCCCAATGAGATGATGATCGGATTCTCCGATTGTGTAGGTGCATTTGCAAGTGCGTGTGGTGGCGCCGTAGTATTCAGTGTAGATTGCTAATGTGCGGAGTCAAGTTCCGTCGTGAGCGTCGCAATTTCGAGCGCCAATTCTTCATCTTGGCGTACGAGACGGTCGAGTTTCTCCTGCGTCAATGTCACGAGAGTGAATTCGGCCATGGCGGGGGTGTCGGGCAAGTTCAGCTAGAGCCTCTGTCGTGGCCGTGCGTGCTTAAGAGACAGCATTACGAGGGGTGGTGTTGTGTCGTTGAGAGACGTCTACCACCCCCCCAAAAAAATTGAGATAGCGGGGAAGCGAAGGTGGGGGTGCGGTCCGAAAAGAGATCGTAGGCTCTGAATACCAAATGTTACAACTTCAATTGAGTGAGCGAGCGTGAATTGCACTATCGAAGCATAAGTACAATGAGCGAAGGCATGAGCGAAAAATATATAGCGAAACTGCAGTGGTAACAGTAATGTGAAAAATTGGGGTGCGCGACGGGCCGGGCGCCGAGGTTGGGAAATGCCGAGGCGGAGGTCCGGAGCGCGGGTTACCAACCGAGCCGTGAGGTTGGGTCGCGTCGTGAGCAGTGGCGGGAGCAGTGTCGAGGCGAATGTCGCGAATGGTAACGGTTTACTGCTGGGTGCTGTTGGCGGGAACAGTGGTGTACGCGCTGAGCAGGGACGCCAAGGAAAAGGAATTTTCCTTACAATACCCGTCAATGAACTGAATCCATATAATAATGTCTACATTTTGTGCGACCGGAAAAATAACTTGGAAACAAGTACACAATCGAATTTTGCTGCTTCTATCCAAGGCAATTCTCGCAACACACGCACGGCCGCCATGGCAGCGCCGTTCAGCGCGCTTGTGGAGTTTCACGGCTCTCGCGTTCTCCTCGACTGCCCACTAGACCACTTGCCCTGCTTGTCCCATCTCCCCACCCCATCCGCGTGGTTACCAAATTTGCGACACTCGCCTAGGAAGCTCGCCTAGGAAGCGCCGAGTTTCGCTGCTCTCCGCGCACCTCGCAGCATCCTCCACGCGCGCCCGCCGACGCCTCTCGCCTCGACGCACCTCGCGCCGCCCGCTGCCCGCCAATTCCGCATGCTGATTCCCTCGCTCCGAACCCCGCACCTGCTGCTGCTGCCGCCGCAGACGAATCTTTCCATGGCGCAACGACGGACACCCATGCAGCACTTGCTCTGGACCAGCCCGAACCTGCCGGTTCGGACCGAGCAATGCACCCAACAGACGCACCTCGCGATCTTCTTGGAGCAGCCGGCTCGGGCGCCTTCATTCCCCCGGCCCTGGCGTTGCTGCATCGGAAAGGCTGCCGAGCCTCGAGGTTAGGTTTGGCACACAGGCGCGTGGTTCGGTGGAGACGAAGGGTGTGCATGTGCTTGGCTGACCGGCAGACGGGCGGAGGCGGGCAGAAAGGGAACGAGGAGAGACGAGGCGAAGGGGCAGAGGGGGAGGAGGGAAAGCGGAGAGAGAATGGAAGTGTTAGCGGTGTAGAGGCGGAGGTGAAGGGAGGCGGAGCAGAGTCAGTGTCTGGTGGAGCGATTATAGGCCCAAGCCGCAGTGCAGGCAGGCATGAGGGCGGCAATGGGGGCGGCAATGGGGTGGATGCGATGGGCAAGGGCAGGAAGAGGGGTGGAGATGGCGATGGCGTTGAGAGCGGTGAGAAGAGGCAGAGAGGGGATGGGAACGAGGGGAAGCGCGGAGCAGCGTTCACCCGTACACATGCACATGGCCATGGCCTAGACCACAAGCACATCCGTGACCATTCCCATGCCCACACCCATGCCCACGCCCACACCCATGCCCACACCCACACCCACGCCCGCAGCTATGCCTGGGCGTCCTCCTCGCCATGCCCTGGTGTGCGCCTCTCCTCCCCCCTACCCTCCTCTGTGCCAACCCCCCATCCCACTCTCGCTCTGCCATTCGCGCTCAGTGCCACGTCAGCAGCGTCTGACGTGGACGCCATCCTGATCTCGAGCCCCGAGGGCCTTCTGGGCGTGCTTGTGCTGCTGCGCCATCACCGCCAGCACCACGCCCACCGCCCCCCCCCCAAGGTGTGCCAGGGTTCGGCACGAGCACTAAGGCAGGCGAGTAAGAGACAGGTAGAGAGGTGCATGTTCCTGTCGGATCACAGGGCGTTCAGTGCCGTGGCTTGCATTCGCCTAAACGAATCCCCACAATGGGGCCATGGCGTGGTTAGTCGTGCGAATGGTCGGATTGGCCTTCTGCCTAGAAGAAGCACCTTCCTTAGCCGCCTCTTGCTGCCTATCGTGCCTGCCTGCCTGCCTGCCGCCTAGCGCCCATTCTGGCTGTTTAAGGCCAGCAGCCCACGTGCTTGGTCCTCCACACCCCCTCGCCCTGTTGGCCCCATGTGCCCCGCAGGTGGTGTGCACAGAGGCTGCTCTGCGCATCGCCAGGCTGGCAGCCAAGGAGAGGGCGGCACTGGTGCAGGGGAGGGGCGTGCTGGCGGAGGGTGCAGACCAAGGCTGTGCATCCCTCAGGTGCGCCCTGCTGTCTCGCTGCTGCTGCTGTCATGCCCGTGCCTCATGCCCATGCCCCACCTGCCATGCTCGCCCCACCTGCCGTGCTCGCCCCACCTGCCATGCTCGCCCCACCTGCCATGCTCGCCCCACCTGCCATGCTCGCCCCACTGCAAGGCTTGCTATACACCACTGTCCGCCTGCCTCCATGGCCCCTCATGCTGCATGAGCGTGCACTCTCACGCTGGCCCATCTCTTTGCCTTCTCATCCGCCCTCGTGTGCATCGCCCCGCCACAGCCACATAATCAAGCACTGCACACGCACTGCTCACCTCACTCAACTGCACGTTTTCCTCTCCCTGCCGCGGAGGCGCATGCCTCACAGCAGGTCTTGTGCTTCGGTCGCCTCCCTGCCATCACCATCCTGCTGCCTTCACTACAAGACCTCACCCTCGAACTCCTTGCGCTTCTTCCCACCTCTCTGCTCTTCCCCCCATCGTCCCCCTCCTTCACTCCCTCCTCTCCCTACTTTCCTTCTCCCCCCCAATTCCCATTCTCCGTATTCCTTATCCATGCCAGCAGCGAAAGTGAGGAGCTGGCATCATTAGCGAGTGTGAGGGGAGTGAGGTGGGGGGAGGGGGTGGGTGTGGGTCCGGGCGTGACAGCCACTCCAGCTGCCTCGGGAGGCCCTCTTGGCTCTGCCTCCTGGTCGCTCCTTTACTCCGCTCACTCGCCCTCCCACACCTCCCATGCATCACACCCTTTCCACACCTCCTACCCACACACCTCTGTCCCCGCCTCACATCTCTTCTCTCAACAACCGCTCTCATCCATCTCGCATCCCTCCACTGACCCTTCCGCCGCTCCCTTCGCCTCTCACTCCACCGCTTCAACCGCTCCCTCCTCCAACTGCTGCCACCTCGCCCTCCTCTTCCCATCGCTGCCCTACAAAACTCTCGCTGCTCCACCACAGCTGGAGCCAATAATATCTTGCCTCGTGGCAGCTCTATGTGGGCCCACGTCAGCCAGCTCTGCTGACAGTCACGCATGGACAGAAGACACCAAGGAGGGGAGGAAGGCAAGGGTGGGGGATGCGGAGCATGGGAAGGGGCATGATGGCAGGCCGTGGGGTGGGGGAGGGAGGGGCAGCTAGGTGGGAGTGCAGGGCGGATGGAAGGGCAGAGGTGGTGGGATGAAGAGTGAGGCGCTGTGTGAGTCACGTGGGCATGTGAGTGTGACGGCCGGGAGGGAAGGGACGGGAGGAGCTGAAGTGGCATGCAGCGATAGAGGGGGCAGTGCGAGGGAGGGGAGAGGAGCAGCGAGTGCGGGGAATGGGGTGGATGGTGCGGGGTGCAGTGCGGTGTCTGACAGCATTGAAGGCATTGAAGGCGTTGTGCGGGTGATTGCAGGGCAGGTGGCACAGGGAGGGCGAGTGGTGGTGCCGTGCTCCCCGCTGGGCCCCTCCCTGGACGTCCTGCTCGCCCTGCTCTCGCCCTCCCACTCACCACCAGGCCCACCAGCACAATCAGCAGCAGCAGCTGCAGCAGCAGCAGCAGCAGCAGCAGCAGCAGCAGCAGCAGCAGCAGCAGCAGCAGCAGCAGCAGCAGCAGCAGCAGCAGCAGCGCCATCACCCCATGTGGGAGTGGGAGTGCCGGTGGTGTACCTGTCGCCGGTGGCCAAGCAGGCGCTCTCCCTCGCCTGCATCCTGCCTGAGTGGATGCACCCCCGCGTGCATGATAGAGTGGGTGTGTTTGTGTTTGTGTGTGTGTGTGTGTGTGTGTGTGTGTGTGTGTGTGTGTGTGTGTTTGTGTGTGTGTGTTTGAGGATGGGTCTGGAAGTGAGTTTGTGTGTGTGAGGGTGTGTGTGGATGCATGTCTGTGTGTTGGTGTGTGTGGTATGTGTGGGTGTGTATGTGGTATGTGTGTGGGTATGTGTGTGGTATGTGTGTTGGTCATATGTGTGTGTGCAAAAATATGTCTTCATGTGAGGGAGTGTTTGTGCATGGGAGCTCGCCGTATTCTACCATACGTCCTTCTGCCATACGTCCTTTTGCCATACGTCCTTCTGCCACCTGTCCTTCTGCCATACGTCCTTTTGCCATACGTCCTTCTGCCATACGTCCTTTTGCCATACGTTCTTTTGCCATACGCTCTTCTGCCATACATCCTTCTGTCCGTTCTTCCCTGTGCTCACACGTCCCTTTCCCACACCTGCCATCTGTGCCTTGAAACAGAGCACGTGTTCTCTTTTGGGCAGACAACTGAATGGTGTCTTTTTCTCTCTCCCCTCTCTTCCTTCCCCGCTCCCTCTCTCCTCCCACCCGCAGCTCTTCTCAGGCCAGCCCATCCACGCCATCAGCAGCGCCCTCCTCTCCCACCCCTCCACCAACCACAACACCAAACCAGTTTCCTCCTTTGCTGACGCACATGGTGACTCCAGCATGGGGGTGCGCATGGTGGAGCTGCCAGGAGCCGTGGTGTTCCTGCCCTCTCCTCCCCCTCTGCCCTCTCCTCCCCCTCTGCCCTCTCCTCCCCCTCTGCCCTCTCCTCCCCCTCTGCCCTCTCCTCCCTCTCCTCCCTCTCCTCCCTCTCTTCCCTCTCCTCCCTCTCCTCCCTCTCCTCCCTCTCCTCCCTCTCCTCCTTCTCCTCAGACTCCCACCAACGAGCTCTCCCCGCCACCCACCCCACCAACCCTCTTTCGTCCCCTTCATTTTTTTCACCTGATGACCATTTCAACCTTCCAGGAACCTTCTCCACAGCCCGTGCATTGTGTTTGCCGCCCACTCCACACTGCGAGTGGGCACGGCAGTGGATATGATTCACCTGTGGGGCGGCGACAGCCGTGATCTTCTGCTGTTGCTCGAGGTACACATGTGGGCTGGAGGATCACAGGGTGTGGACTTGCGTCATTGAGTGTTGAGTGAATGCATCTGAGCCTTACCAGCATAGCCTGCTGTCAGTCACTCATTCCCAGCACTTTCCTTGCACACCTTGCTTCCTTGCACACCTTGCTTCCTTGCACACCTTGCTTCCTTGCACACCTTGCTTCCTTGCACACCTTGCTTCCTTGCACACCTTGCTTCCTTGCACACCTTGCTTCCTTGTCTCACCACTCTCTCCATGCCTCTTCGTCCTTCCTATCCTCCTCCTTTACCTGCCCAATCCTCTCTCTCCGTGGACCTTCCCCCCCGCAGACTCATCCGGAGGATGTGCCAATCACCATCTCGCCCTGTCAGCCGCTTGCCATGCACGTCGCCACGTGCTGCCTGCTACCCTCTCACAGGTCTTGCTCACTTGCTATGCTTGTGCCATTTGATCAACGTGACGTGATGCCACCTCCATGAAGCCACTGCATTCATGCCCCCCTTTCTTTCCTCATCCCCCTGCCCTCTCCCCAGGCGGTCAGGCACACCGCTGCCACGGGCCCTTGGTGCAGCTGCCACGGACCACATGCAACAGAATGCTACTGCGGCAGGAGGCATGCCCATTGCAATGACTGGAGCACTCAAGGCCGTGCCTGCGGGGCATGGGGAGCACGTGGGGGATGGGGAGGGAGCAGGGGGGGATGGCAGAGGAGGCGTGGCAGTGGGCGGGTCAGGCAGTGTGAAGGAGCTCATCAGCAGCATTCCACGGCTGCAGCATCTCATAGTGAGCTCCGTAGCGTTCATCAATCAAGGGCCTGTGCTGCGCGTTGGGAGCTCCCTTTCACCAGCTCATATGATTCCCTTCCACTTCCTCTCCTCTGCCCCTCTCCTTTCTTTCCGCCACTCTCCTTTCTCTTTTCCCCTCTCCCTCCTTCATCTCTTCCCCTCTTCTTCCTCTCCACCCCTCTTCTTCCTCTCCGCCCCTCTTCTTCCTCTCCACCCCTCTTCTTCCTCTCTGCCCCTCTCCTTACCCTCCGCCCCTCTCCTTACCCTCCGCCCTTCTCCTCACTCACCTCCCCTCTCCTTACTCACCGTCCCTCTCCTTACTCACCGCCCCTCTCCTCTCTCTCCCCCCCTCTCCTTTCTCTCCCCCCCTCTCCTCTCTCTCCCCCCCTCTCCTCTCTCTCCCCCCCTCGTATTTCTCTCCCCCTTCACCTTCCCCACCGCCCCTCTCCACAGGTCCCAGAGTCCCTCCACGCCCACCTCGCAGCAGGCCTCCCGGCAGCCATCGCTGTGCACCCTCTCAGCACCGCCAGCTGCCAGCATCCCCATTAAGCACCACGCGCTCATCACGCTCACTGCCATCCGTCTTGGAACCCACTGGGGCGATCCCTGGCACATCTGCACTGCTGTCTCCATCGGCCAGGGTCGGTCAAGTGGCGTCCCACACGGCGGATGAAGTTACGGTATGCATCACGTCTTCATTTGTAGCATGCAAGTGTTCTGAGCGGGGGGGCGTTTCTTATGTGGTGTTATCCAGTCCTTTGCTTTGCATCACACTGCCCTGCTCACCACAACGTGCCTTCAATGTTTCTGGCAGGCTTCTCTCTGAAATTCTTTACTAGGAAATCAGATGGGTAACTCACAAATACAACAGAGCCATCTAAGAAGATCACAACAACTGATCCACCCTGACAATTTATTGCCATAGGGCATGCACCAATAACAAGCCATGGGCTGGGTGACCACAGGTTAGCAACAGAGGCGGTGATACTGCCGCGCAGCGTGATGCGTTTCACTTTGATGGTGGAGTAGAAGGCGGTGGGATTCGAGAAGAACCCCGCATCCACCAGCGGCTTGGGCCTGTTCACCGGCCTGAACGGCACGGTGATGTTGGCCAGAGAACTGGCGGTGCAACGGTAGGTGCCAAGTGTGGTGGTGGGCTTGGGCACGCAGCAAACGTTGCCACGAGCTGACCCGTGTTGGTGTGGTAGGAGGAGTTGGAGAAGACTGGCGCTCGGGTCTTTGACACGGCCTTCACGGTGAAGGTGAAGAGCGCCCTTTGCTGTGTTGATGTGCTGTGAATGGGTGGAGTGAGTTGCAGGGGTGAGACCCGGGGGGGGGGGGGGGGGGTGGGGGGAGGAGGGTGATATGGAGGGGTGAGACGGAGCAGTGTGATGCAGAAGTGAGACAAAGCAAAGGAACGGATTTGCGTCCACATGTTGGTATGGGAGGCACAATGGAGACTTGGGTTCAAGCGAGGTGAGCATGTTCTGTGCTAAGGTTATGACGAGCATCTGATTAGAAGGGGAACGTTGACGTGCACTCACATGTTAACATCCATGTTGAACTTGGCTCTCGTGTTGGTTTGTGAGCTGAGCACCGAGGAAGCTTGGTCTGCATCGGGCAGACGAGGACACACGCACAGGGCAGAAGAGGACACAGTTGAGCGACTTTTTGAAAGCAGAGGGAACATTGAAAGCAGACAGCAAATGGTCTGCAGTGGGAACATTCCGAGGTGGTTGGGATTGATGCATGTGCATACGCATATGCGTGTGCGTCAGCATGTGTATTTGTATGGGCATGTGCATGTGGATGTGCATGTGGACCTGCATGGCATGTGCATGGGCATGTGCATGTGCATGTCTCACATCTGATGGGAGCATTAAAGTCTACAGTGACGATCTTTTCGCCCCCGCTGTTTGACTCTCCGGTACTCCCAGTGCCGCTCTCAGTGGTGCCGCTCTCAGTGGTGCCGCTCTCAGTGCTGCTGATCCCAGTGGTGCCGCTCCCAGTGGTGCTGCTCGCAGTGCTACCGCCGCTTATGCTAGATCCGCCGCCCGACACAACGATGGAGCCTCCAGTGCCGCCAGCATTCCTGGTGCTGCCCATGCTGACGGAGCCGGAGCTGCTGCCAGTACTGCTTTTGTTGCTGTCGGGGACGGTGCTTACATCTCCGATAACGAGAGCTTCGTCAGGACTGACCATGCTGCCGCCGCCGCTGCTGCCCGTGGTGCTGCCCTTGGTGGTGACCGTTTGGGACAGGAGGCCGTCGCTCGCATCCAGGAGCTCTCGCCGCACGGCGCCGCCCGCTGCGCAGCAGAGGGAGAACGAGAGCACTGCTGCCAAGGGGAGGGGTTTGCGGGAGTCAGTGTAGCGAAGCATGGGGGAGTCAGTGTAGCGAAGGGGGAAACAGGGAAGTGCGGAGGAGATTTGGGCAGGCCCATGTGTGGGGTTATCGATGATGCACTCCCGCCCGCGCGCGATACCTTGTCCCCGGAAGACTCATCATGAGCGACATGACAGGGCGACGGACGACACGACAGGGCGACGGAGCGACAAGGAAAGGGCGACGGAGCGACACGACAGGTCGTCGGACGAGGCGATACGACAGGGCGACGAGCGACACGACCGGTCGACGAGGCGACATATGGCAGGGCGTCATGTGACTTGCCAGGGCGATACGAGGCGACGCGGTGGGCTCACCAGCGATGACGACGGCGAGTCGCTTAACGTCGAGCGACGGCGAGCGAGAGAGTGACGTCATCCGAGCCATGGTTGGATCCAAAATGTTCTGACCCAAAAGGGGCCCCCAGGTGACTTCCGGGCAAGATTGGGGACATTTCGGAAAGTGACCCATAAGTTACTTTTGGAACTGACACTTCAGGCTATTGGTAGGTCAGATTGGCTAACCCAAAAGCGACTTCCGGGTCAGGTACGGGTCAGGTACGGGTAAGAATTTGGCGGGAAAAGTCAGGTTCGGGTCAGATAGACTGACCCAAAAGTCACTCCGAGGGCAGATTTGGGGCACACGTGTCTAACACACAAACCGCGTAATCCCCGTTGTAAACAACGTCGACACATGGGTTACGTTTATATCGGTCCCAATATATAATGCCTATGGTGTACACGTTCGAGCCGCATCCTCGCTACAATATGATACTGTATTGTTCGAACGCAAAATGCATATACCGTCACCCCCCGGATATAAGCGCCACCCTAGGATAAGCGCCTGGCGCTTCTAATTGGCATATGGCGCTTATATCCCCTCCTCGATTATAAGCGCACCCCCTGAAAAAACTAGTTTTATTATAAGCGCACGTAAACTTTAAAATTTGAAATGTGTACAAAACGTTGTAATGATTTTTACTTTAGCAGGCAGATATGTTGCAGATTCGGTTCCCTTCACATTCGGACCCTGCACTGGATGCGGGTCCAGTCAGCAGGAGCTGTCAGGAGCTGGATGTGAGTCAGATTGGGTGTGTCTCCCAGCGCGCGCGAGAATTTCACAGACGACCCCATGTAAATTCGACTCGATTGAAAGGGCAAGCACGAGACCTACAGTTTGGTGTTAAACAATATAAAAAATATGAATGTCATTTTATAAACGCCGGCGCTTATAAATTTACTCGATTATAAGCCCACCCCCTTGAAAAAACCTGTTTTATTATTGCCCCCCATGGGGGTATATCCGTGGGGTGACGGTAACGACTTGTGGCACAAGTAGTATATTTCATTTATCCACGCCCATACTAACATAGCAAACATTTGTTCATTACTAATATTTCTGCGTGTCATATCCAGCACCCTCACTACGCACCCTAAATAACAGGCCCCCCATATAAGCATGCCCAGTCGCCCAGCCTCCCTGCACTACATGATAACCACATCAAGCGAGCCACGGCTCGTCGGTGTCACCACCCGGGTCCATCTTTCCCCCATATTGCACGGGCTTGAACTCCTCCAGGTCACTCTCGTTGACATAAAGGTGCTCTGCCCCCCAACGGAATCCGCCCACAACGGGATCGTACCACCTGCCCTTTGACACACCCAGCCAATGGGTGATCACTTTCAGCACCTGCTCGTTACAGTAACCTAAACCCCCCTCGTTGTCAAGAGGGCTAGGAGTCATGCATATCGTTTTTGTCTCCCAGTTGCGTATCCCGAAATCGAACTGCCATCAGGTTAATTGCAGAAGGCAGTCAGTCGGATACATGGGGCCATTTAGAGCACGGAACGAATCGAACCAATCCACTCACGGAATACAAGACCCATGCGATGTGGTATGGCACCAGCACCAGGTTACCGTCATACCCCGGATATAAGCGCCACCCGCGGATAAGCGCCTGGCGCTTTTAATTGGCGTGTGGCGCTTATATCCGGTGCTCGATTATAAGCGCACCCCCTGAAGGCTTACGTATTATAAGAGCCACCATTTGTATTAGTTTTGATAAAGTTACTGGAATCTCTGTAGCGAAACACACTATTTGCATCCTCACTTGATAAAATTTCGACCCTTCACCCTCGCGCGACTCACTGCCCCACCCTCGCGCGACTCATTTGACTGCGTGTCCAGTCAGAATGAGCTGTCATGGGGCGAAATGACTCATTCTGACTGTGTGTGTTGGCAGTTTGCAAACTTACGCGAGATTCTTCTTCACACCCACTATGATCTTGACTCGATTGAAATCGCAATGACAAGATGAACATTTTGAAGTGAAAACAACTAGATTTCATATATGTCATTGTATAAGCCCCGGCGCTTATAAAATTACTATATTATAAGCCCATCCCCTAAAAAAAACACGTTTTTTTAGTGCCCCCCATGGGGGTATATCCGGGGTATGACGGTACCTCCAAACACCCACTCTGGGTAGGCCGCCTTGCATGCTTGGAAAAAGACTTTGGTGGTAAAGGGCCGCAAATCCCCTCTCTCGCAGCTCCATGTCGATACAAGCTGCATAAGCTCCTTCTCTGTACACAGTGCGGCAGGCAAGTATGTGGTTAAAGCCGGCCCAGCATACATAGGCTCTGCCCTGTGAGCCCTCCATCGGGATCCCCCCCTTGCACCCACGACACTCACTGGGCGCGTATTTCCGGTGCAGATCCTTCTTGGTGTCGATATCGATCTCCAGTTTGTAGATGCTGGTGGCTGCGACCTTGATCTCCAGCCCATCCACGATCCGTCGGCGTCCGTTCGACGACGAGTCACTCCTGAACTTCGACCAGATCTTGTTGACAACCTTGCTGTACGCCCCGTCGTTCATGGCGCGGTCAACGTCTAGCTGACATACGTCGTAGTGGCACCCGAGCACCACGAGAAGGGCCACGTTCCTCTCCTCGTCCGTCGGCCAGTGCGTTACGCCATGCGTGGCGCATGAACGCAACAGCAGATGCATCGCCTTCTTGGCATAAAACTGGGGGGCGGGGTTGGTAGGGGGGGGGGGGTTGGGGGGGGGGGGGGGGGGGGGGGGGGGGACCACGGCGCATCCACAAATACAGAGCAATTTCGACACTTGTCTGTGGAGACTACAACAGGGCGAACCGCAAGGCTTAATATCACGACCACACCGTGCCCGCATGCGTACAATTGTCCAGTATTGCGATGCGCACAAACGTGTATCTTGTCTGCCGGAGGCATTCCCGGCTGCAACTCAGGCCAGGCATCGTTTGGGTTGTAGTCGACCATGATCGTCATCTTCGGCCGCTCGCGCTTCAACCCTCTTCCTTGCATGCCTGGCGCGTGTCGATCCCACGCAACACCATCAGGCGCTACGCTCCCCGCGGCCATCCCCGTCTCTGTCCCCACGCCAACTCCGCCCACCCGGGGAGCCACGTGGTTCCCCACGATCGCCAGCCTTCCAGCTCCTGACAGTCGGTTCATTGCAAATCCACGGTGTGGACGCGCAAATGCCTCTGCAACCGGTGCTAACTCTTCGGCAGCACAAGCGGGTCGTGTTCGTGCCTGCGTCGCCACACACGCGTCCCTCCGAACCTCACTCTGTTGGGGTGCATCTCCAAACCTGCTGTTCGGCCTCCTCGCCTGCGGCTGGGGTTCCGCGGCTGGCATGACAACTCCGCCACCTTTGCCCGACTCATTTGCCGCAGCGCCGTCCATTCCCGCGAGAGCGGCATGCAGGTCCTCGCCAATGGTGAAGTTCGGCCCGCCCCCGTGTGCCGCAGCCGATGTACTCTTAGTCCCACGACTCGCCTGAACCTGCGCCCACAGCAGCCGTATTTGATCCATCGCACGCCTAGCGACGTCGTCCCCACCCCCATCGCCGCCAAGAACGGTGTCCGCTCCACGGGCACTGGCGGGAGTGTCCTCGTATGTGGCCAGGAACGGCGTGGGAATCATGCCAGGCAACACTCCTGCTCCGTCCTGACCACGTTCGTGCATCTGCGGTGAATGTGCTACCAAGGGCGTGGCAGGGGTAAAGTTAGAAGGCGAGCCGGGAGCTTTAGACGGTTGCATCCTGGGCGGCGAAGCGAACAAGGTCCGGTTCACCACCCTGTCAAACATTATATATGTTCTGCTTGTGTAGGCTACAGTGGGTTAGCCTATAGGGGGTACACAATTCTAGGGTTTCCTACTTGTACTCATTTCACTGCTAGTTCATTCATTCCTGTTCGCTTATTCTCACATGGTATCGAGCAGGTTCCCCTGTGGGAACTGTTCGTAGGGCCCACCACCGCTACCTCTTAACCTTTTTTTTCCTGCCCGGAGCGCGCTCCGGGCCCTAGTACTTCTTTTTTTTCGATCTGCCCTAGTGCTCTTAAGGCCGCCCGCCCTAGCGCCCGAGCGCCGCTGCCCTTGCGCCCTGACGGCCGCCCGCCCTAGTGCCCTGACGGCCGCCCGCTCTAGCGCCCGAACGCCGCCCGCCCTAGCACCCTGACGGCCGCCCGCCCTAGCGCCCTGACGGCCGCCCGCCCTAGCGCCCGAGCGCCGCCCGCCCTAGCGCCCGAGCGCCGCCCGCCCTAGCGCCCTGACGGCCGCCCGCCCTAGCGCCCGAGCGCCGCCCGCCCTAGCGCCCGAGCGCCGCCCGCCCTAGCGCCCTGACGGCCGCCCGCCCTAGCGCCCGTGCGCCGCTCGCCCTAGCGCCCTGACGGCCGCCCGCCCTAGCGCCCTGACGGCCGCCCGCCCTAGCGCCCGAGCGCCGCCCGCCCTAGCGCCCGAGCGCCGCCCGCCCTAGCGCCCTGACGGCCGCCCGCCCTAGCGCCCGTGCGCCGCTCGCCCTAGCGCCCTGACGGCCGCCCGCCCTAGCGCCCTGTCGGCCGCCCGCCCTAGCACCCGAGCGCCGCCCGCCCTAGCGCCCGAGCGCAGCCCGCCCTAGCGCCCTGACGGCCGCCCGCCCTAGCGCCCGGGCGCCGCTCGCCCTAGCGCCCGAGCGCCGCCCGCCCTTGCGCCCTGACGGCCGCCCGCCCTGACGCCTGAGCGCCGCCCGCCCTAGCGCCCTGACGGCCGCCCGCCCTGACGCCTGAGCGCCGCCCGCCCTAGCGCTCTGACGACCGCCCGCCCTGACGCCTGAGCCCCGCCCGTCATCGCCCCAGCGCCCTAGCGCCCGACGCCCGCGAGCCGCCCGTCGTAGCCGCCCGTGAGCTGCCTGTACGCCGCCCGCCGAGCCGCCCGTGCACCCGCCCAGCGTGAGCCGCCCACGACCACCCAGGCTGCCGTCCCCTTCTACCGGCCCCGCAACTGCACCTGCTGGCCCCGCCGCTGCACCTACCGGCCCCCACCACCCACCCCCCCTTTTCCCGTCGCCTGTCGAGGCGACCTGAGGGGGCCGCTTGGGTGGCAGGTGTGTGGCCTCCCCTGCTTCTCCTCCTCCTTCATCGCTCACCTGCAGCAGCCGAGCCGCCCCACCGCCGAGCCGCCCTGCACCCGAGCGGCCCAGCAGCCGAGCCGCCCTGCCGCCGAGCCACCGGGTCGCTGAGCTACTGAGCTGCAGTTGCTGCCGAGCCGCCCTGCCGCCGAGCCGCCGAGTCACCGAGCTGCTGAGCTGCAGTTGCTGCCGAGCCGCCTTGCAGCCGAGCCGCCCGAGTCGCCCGAGCCGCCGAGCCGCCGAGCTGCCGAGCCGCTGAGTCGCCGAGCCTACTCTTCCCACCACTGGTGAGCTCTTGCCCTGCTAGCACGCTGCGCGTCGCCTGCTTGCCTGCCTGCCTGCCTTTTGGCTTGCCTGGCTGCCTGCCTTCCTGCTGCTAGTCCTGCTCCTGCTTCTACTTGCGGAGCCAGATGCAGCCCCAGCGACGCCTGCGTGAGTCCCTCACGCCCCAGCAGCTGCGTGAGTGGTACGCTGGTTGGGGCTGTAGGGGTGGCGACGCTACTCCTACTTCCACTCCTGCTGCTTCTACTCGTGGTGGCGGCCAGATGCAGCTCCCGCGACCCTCTCGCATGTCTCTCACGCCTCGCCAGCTTCGTGAGTGGTACGCTCAGAGTGGAGGGTCTCTCAGTGCTGTTCGCTGCTCTTACGTGATTCGCACTGGTACTCGGACTGGTCAGCCTTGTGGGACACGTAGTCATACACCGTCCCGCTGCTTCGCCCGTCTGAGCGACGCCTGGCGTACCGTGTTTGGCGACGAGGCTGAGCTTCCCGACTGGGTGGAGTTGCTTAGGCAGAGGGTAGATATATATGCTCTTGACTATGATGCTATTCTCACTGCCATGTATGCATTGCCTACTAGTGCCGGTCACCTGTGCGTCCCGCCTGGCCCAGGTATAGGACCTGCTGCTCTAGCTACTGGTGAGGCTGCTGCTCTGGGTGCTAGTGAGTCTCCTGCTCCAGGTACAGGTGCGGCTGCTGCTCTAGGTGCTAGTGAGTCTGCTTCCTCAGGTGCGGGTGAGGCTGCGCTCTCAGGTACCGCGTTGGCTTCGGCCTCCCTCACCTTTACACTTGACTCTGGGGCTTCTCGCTCCTTCTTTCGGGACCGCACCACACTCACGCCGCTTGGTCGGCCGGTTGCTGTCTCCCTGGCTGACCCCTCTGGGGGTCCTGTCCTCGCTCACTTCTCCACTGTCCTCCCGTGTCCGGCTGCCCCCTCGGGCACCCTGTCTGGCCTGTACCTCCCCTCGTTCTCGACGAACTTGGTGAGTGGTGCAGACCTACAGGATGCGGGGGTTCACCAGTTCACTCCTGCGAGTCAGCGGGTGACCCACTGCACGGACGCACGCACAGGCCGGCACCTGGCCACGTTCTCGCGTCGGCCGGGGTCGAGCCTCTACACCCTGACCACTGAGTCTCCTCCTGTCCCCGCGTCCGGTCAGGTAGCAGCGTCGGGTCAGGTGTTTGCTGCTGCGTCCAGGTCTGGTCCTGAGTCTGCCCCGTGTTCGTGTCGCCTCCTGTCTCACGAGACTCTTCTGTGGCACCACCGTCTAGGCCACCCCTCTTTGCCCCGTCTTCGGGGCATGGCTTCCCGTGTCCTTGTCTCTGGTCTTCCCCAGTCTCTCCCTCCCCTTCCTTCGGGACCAGGACCTTCCTGTGTCCCCTGTGTCGAGGGGCGCCTCAGGGCTGCTCCTCACTCCTCCCAGTTTCCCCCGACAGAGGCTCCTCTGCAGACGCTTCACATGGACGTGTGGGGCCCGGCCCCCGTCCGTGGGCAGGGTCACGAGCGCTACTTCCTGTTGGTGGTTGACGACTACTCGCGTTACACCTCAGTCCTCCCCTTGCGCAGCAAGGGTGCTGTCACTGAGGTGCTGATCGACTGGATCCGCGAGGCTCGTCTCCAGCTCAGGAGGAGCTTCGGCTCGGACTTTCCTGTTCTGCGTCTGCACTCTGACCGAGGTGGGGAGTTCTCCTCTCGCCTTCTGCGAGACTACTGTCGTGCACAGGGGATCCGCCAGACCTTTACGCTTCCGGACTCTCCACAGCAAAATGGGATTGCTGAGCGCCGCATTGGCATGGTCATGGATGTCGCTCGTACGTCCATGATGCATGCGGCTGCCCCCCATTTTCTGTGGCCGTTTGCGGTTCGGTACGCGGCGCATCAGCTCAACCTTCACCCCAGGGTCTCTCGGCCCGCGATGTCCCCAGTGTTACTGTGGACGGGGAAGGTCGGCGATGCGTCTGCGTTCCGTGTCTGGGGATCTCGGGCGTTTGTCCGCGACTTGTCTGCGGACAAGCTGTCCCCCCGTGCTGCTCCCTGTGTCTTCCTTGGCTTCCCCCTTGACGCTCCAGGGTGGCAGTTCTACCACCCCTCCTCTCGTCGTGTTCTGTCCTCCCAGGACGTCACGTTCGACGAGTCAGTCCCCTTCTACCGCCTCTTCCCCTACCGTACTCCTTCCCTCCCCCCCCCACCGGACTTCCTGGTGCCAGTTCCCCCCCCGGTAGACCCCCTCCCCCCTCAGGTTCCTGCCCCTTCAGGTGTGTCCCAGGTAGACACAGTCGAGCCAGTCGAGGTTGCTGCTGAGTCTGGTCCTGCTGCGGGTGCACAGTCTGGGGGTGCTACGCCTGCGGGTGCTGAGCTTGGGGGTGCTGCTGCTGGGGGTGCTGAGCCTGGGGGTGCGAGGCCGGGGGGTGCTGAGCTTGGGGGTGCTGCTGCTGGGGGTGCTGAGCCGGAGGGTGCTACGTCAGGAGCTGCTGAGCCTAGGGGTGCTGAGCCTGGAGGTGCGGAGCCTGCGACTGCTGGGCGGGAGCCGCTCTCTCCACAGGAGCTGCGCGAGTGGTTTGCTCGCCGCTGGAGGCGTGCTGCTGGAGCTGGAGCTTCTTCGCTTGCTGAGGGTGCTGCCGGTCCCGGAGCTGCTGGGCCTGCGAGTCCTACTGGAGCTGGAGCTACTGAGTCTGGGGGTGCTGAGTCTGGAGCTGCTGAGCCTGGAGGTGCTGAGTCTGGAGCTGCTGAGCCTGGGGGTGCTACGTCTGGAGCTGCTGTGCCTGGGGGTGCTGAGTCTGGAGCTGCTGAGCCTGGGGTTTCTCCTGCTGCTGCGTCTCGCCGGGAGCCCCTCTCTCCACAGGAGCTGCGCGAGTGGTTTGCTCGCCGTTGGAGGAGTGCTGCTGGAGCTGGAGCTTCGTCGACCGTCGAGGGTGCTGGTGCTGCCGGTCCCGGAGCTGCTGGGCCTGCGGGTCCTTCTGGAGCTGGAGCTGCTGAGGGTGTTGGTGCTGAGACTACTGCTGTCTGTCCTGGCGGTGGTTCTGCTGCTGGTGCTGCTGGAGATCCTGCTGCTGGAGGTGTTGGTGGCGCTGGTGCTGTCGCTGAGGGTGCTGGTGCTGTCCCTGCTGAGTCTGGAGCTGCCGCGCGGCCTCGGCCGTACTTCGTTCCGCTCCTACAGCAGGTTCTTGGTCTTTCTCCTTCGGTAGAGTGTCCACAGCCTGTCCAGTCGCAGTCACTGTTGGAGCCTTCCTCTCCTCTGCCTGCTCCCTCTCCTTACACTGGTCCTACTGGAGGTCTTGCTGAGCGTCGTGAGCCTGC